TGTGAGGTCTCAGTTTCCGATAGAGGACATTTGCAAATTGAGGAGTACAGCAAACCCACCCACACAAACCAGTATTTGCAGTTTGAGTCCCATCACCCTTTGGAGCACAAGTTAGGAGTCATTAGGACGCTGTACCACAGAGAAGACAGCGTCCACACTAACTCAGGAGCCAGGCAAAAGGAGAAATCCCACACATGACAGGCTCTAATGTAGTGAACCAGGCCTCCAACCAAAACCTGTCTCTGAAGACCTTCATGGGACAGGAACTGTTATTTCATTGATTTGAATCCAGAAATACAAATTAGCTCATCCAGTCAAAAGTCGGTCAAAAGTCAGAGACAGTCAGAAAAGAAGTTATTAGAACGGGCTGTATTGTTTTTAAACCTAGCACACGGTAAAAAGAGAAACACTGGCATCTGCGTGTCTCACTTCGCCATAACATTTATCTGTCTGTATCAAACATTCCTAAACATTCCTGAACCCACTGTTGACTTTTAATAACCCTCTGACATCACTAGAACCACCCCCTGTTGGTTGTTTCAACCAATCAGGAAGTATTAAGTGACCGGAAGTGAGGACTCTTTTAAAAGTCGACACTTCCTGGAACTATTCAGTCTACTCCGTCTTCTCAAGTTCTTCTGAAGTCTTGGATCTGAGTTGAACTCAGTCTTTGATGGAGTCTTCTCAAGCCTTTGGGAGTTTTCCACTCCTGAGTGAGATCTCTGACAGAGTCACAGCGACTTGCTGTGAATCCACCCGGGCATAATGCCTACAACTTCGAAGGGAGCTGAGCCTGTTTGTTGAACGGAGTAAATCGACACGACTTCGGACAATGACCAGCCGCTCTAACCGGAGACGCTGGAAGGTAGCGTTGAAATGGACCCGACACCGGAGCTGATTTATCTCATGCGAAGGTAACGAGTCATCACGCACTAAGTGTACCGGAGGTTTGAGCTGGTGATTGAAAGAAGCGTGCCAATTCTGGTCAATCCAAACATACACCTCCCTTTACCCATCTCTTCTTTAAACCTCTAAACTCCTTCCTTTAAACTCTTCTATTTTGCCAGTAATCTAGATGCCTTCAGAAATGTCTTGTTGTCTTATTAGTAAAGTGTGCCAAGTTTTATTAATCAGAACCAGATCAGCTAATCAAGTGTCCATGTTTTGATGTTAAATTTTGATTCTGTTAAATAAATGACCGCATTTATTCTGATGGGTCAAAGGAAAATTAACGTCTCTTGTCACTGATTAGACAATATTCACAGTTCCCTCGGTCACATGGCATTAATTTAACTCGAAAAAGAAAGAACCCGTTATATTTAAATAATTGGTAGTGAAGGTACAGCAAAGCTGCACCCCACATTTGGTGGGACCGCACGTGTTTTAAAAAACACATTTGGTGGGACCGTATGTCCACAGCAAAGCTGTCCATGACACACTACACTAGAGCAATGTGGATATCCTAACTGGGGCTTCCTGAAAGCAAAGAAGAAACCCAAACAGGACTCCAGTCAGCCATCAGGTGAAAAGGAGGAACCCAGAACCAAACCAGTGGTCATTCCATATGTTGTGGGAGTATCAGATAAACTGAGATGTTTATTTTCTAAACACAACATCTCACTGGCTTTTAAACCCCAAAATACATTACGGCAAAAAAACTGGTTCATTCCAAAGACCCAGTCCCCAGGCACAGAGTAACATTGTGTATGCTGTTCAGTGTCAGGAGGGCTCTTGTAGATGAACAGATGCCGAGATATATTCATCAATTAAAACGGATTCTTCATTTTTCTGGACTGAATAAAACGTGCATTGAATTTAATGAAATGCAAACGTGAGACGTCATTTATCTTTGACCCATCAAAATGAATGCGGTCATTTATTTACAGAATCAAAGTTTAACATCAAACATTTACATTAATTTGGCAAAATATGAAAATAACAACATAATCAATCAATCAGGAAAACCATACGGCCATGATTTTCCGTTGCTTCACCACAGACATTTATGAAAACTGTACAATTATGATCAATTATCCACACGGCTGTGGATGAGCACTTTACACAGACATTTCTAAATTATCTGGAAGGATTTCTACTTGATAGAAGGATTTAAAGATGGAAATGAAGTTTAAAGGGAGTAAAAGATGGTATGTGAGGGGAAGTGTTGACCAGAACCGACACTCTCCATCCGAACCCAGCTTTCCTCGGTACGCTTGGTAGGGAACTTGACTCATTACCTTTCTGAAGATTAATCAGCAGATATGGAGGTCCAGTTAACGCTACCTGTCCAGCGTCTCCATAGGATGGCTGTGACTCGTCTGAAGTAGTGACGAGATTCCGTCCGACACCAGCTCACATCAGCAAGTGGACTTCACATGAGTCCTTCAGAAGTTCCACGCAGAGGTGGAAGATGTTATAATCCAACTCGGAGGAGCCTTATCATGCTGGACTTCTGTTCTCCCAAACGACTTCACAGAACTTCTCCGCCCTTCACCGAACTGCGAGAACTAGGAAGTACCGGCATTTTAAAGAGCTCTATTTCCGGTATATTTGAGCGTCCCTGATTGGGTAATATCAACCAGACAGGGGTGTGTTTTGTGATGTAAGAGGTTACTAGAAGTCAGAAAACAGCAAGAATTGTTATGGAAAGATTAAACTGTTCTCAGAGACAGAGAGAGTTTTGTTTTGGCGAGTTTTAGAAACAGGTGCCAACTCCTCCGTTGACGTCTGAGAGGAAGTAAACAAGACAGTTGTTCCAACACATGTCTGCTTCGACTCCTGACCTTGGAAAACGCACACTTGCTCATTCAAAGACAGAAATCAGAA